GCGATCCGCCGTGCGGGGTCGCCTTGCGCTTGGGGTCCCGCGGCCTCTCCTGGGGCCGTGGCTGGGGGGCTCGGGTGGAGGCAGGGGTGCGAGGGTGTTCGGCTGCCGCGAGGGGCGGCCGGAGCCGGGGGCCGGAGCTGGGTCTGCCAGCCCCGCTACGGGAGGCGCCGCTGCTCGGTAGGGAGCGCTCTAGGGGAGCGCCGGGAAGGATACCCTGGGAAGGGAAAAGAAACCCTGGCTGTACCTTCTCAAGTGGTCCGAAGTGTGATACGGCAGCAGGGGCGAGACAGGTGTCTGCGAAGGGGGCGCAGGTGCCTCCGGTTGGATTTCGGGAGTCGAGAGTGTCTCAAGTCTTTGGACTCAAAAATAGATAATTTGCTCTCGAAGTGCAGTGTGTGACGGTTTTTCTGACGGAGAATGCAGAGCACGGTGCGAGTTTTGCTGAGCTGAAAGCCCTAGAGGAGTCTGTCGTGGTGTTTAATTACTTCCTGTGGGGATTGGGAATATTGAGGCTCGGCAGCGTTGGCCCCAGTGCTCCGGCCAGAGGGTGGTGCAGCTCCCTTTTAATGGATGGAATGTATATTTCTTTAAATGGAGTCTTACTTTATATATATACCGGATATATGTGCACTTATTTGAAAAGTAGGGTAAATCGTTTGCTTTCATTTTTAAAGTCTGATTTTTTAGCAGTATATTCCGTAAGATTATTATCTAAAATAAATGATTTTACATTAATTCTTACACTTGAAATGTTGTTTCACTCTTTCAGAAAGCACCATTTTAATGATCTAGAAAATGGTTGGACTGTCTTCTTTTGGTAGTATTAATTATCATTTGTTATTTTTCACTAAATAGATGTGATATTGAATAATAACATCAGTACATCTTTCTTTTTTCTGAAGTGTTAAAAATCTCCACTTTTTAAAATCTTCAGATTAAAAATCTCCAATTTTCCAGTTGGGAAAGTAAAGCCCAGTCTCGCTAACACTTTTCACATGCTTCCCATTAAGCATGAGGCTGTAATCACTCTGATTTGTATTTTTTCTACTTTTCAGATCAAGCTGTGGTGCCTAATTTTTTTTTTCCTTTCCTTATTATCTTGAATCAAATCTCATCCTCGCTGAAGTCATCTTGAACTTCTGTCACTGGCTTCAGTGAGATATAATCAAGGCATTATTCCTGGTGTTCTCTCAGCACTCACTGAGGATCTAAATAAAAACCAAGGCATTGGTTGTTTCAGTGTCCGAACAGCCTTTAAGGGAGAAAATTAAAAGCAGCTGGCAGCACTGCTCAGAAGCCCCAAAGGCTGCAAAGATTTGCTACAACTGGTTTAGTTTGAGAGCTCCAAGTTGTGTATAAGAGAACAAGGGGATAAAATGGAGTTTGAATTTTGTGTATTCCTGTTCAGTTTTATCTAGGTATGAAAACCAGATCACTATTTTGTCAGATTGCTTAGAAGAATTTCCAGAAACTGATGAGCCAGTGTGGATTTTAGGAAGGCAACACCACCTAAACACAGGTATCTTTAGAATTAAAATATCTGTAACATGTGTAGAATATTCATAGATTTACATGCAGCAACAGCTCCTAATTTCCTTATGCTCCCTAAATGTCTCATGAGGGACATTTTTCATCAGTGAGACACCAGGTGTAAGCAGTGGAATTCCTCTTGTACAGAAATCAGAACCAAAGTCAATGTGCTTCCAATTGTAATTCATGCAATATGATCACACTTGTAGCAAAGGCTGTCAGATGTGAACCTGGTCACTTCACAACATCAGGGCCTCAGAAATAAATATATAAATAACTTTTGGAAAATATTCAGCATTACTAATGTCATTTTCCTGTGAGGGATACTGTCTGCAGCCTGTTACTTGCAACTAAAATGATATTTCAAATAACAATAATAAGTTAGTCTGTGGCAGATACTGCATTTTAGTGAAAATAAATAAATGACCTAAAAGTTAGAATAATGTGTTTATATAAAAATAAGATTTCAGAAATTAGTTTTTCTCCTGGGAGAGAATACAGCAGCATCCTCCTGTGTTACGTATCAAAGGCAGTGGCCACCAATGCAGGCACGGTGTTCAGGACAGCCAAGGGTGTTGCATGCAGCCTTGATCAGCTGGAGAATTCTTTGGAAAAGCCAACCAGTCTGAGCCACAGCTAAGG